CCTGCTCGCACCACTGGTGCTGCAGAGCAGTGGGGCTGGCGCCAGCAGTGGGTGCAAGCCCGAGGCAGGACCACGGCGTTCGGGAGCAGACTTTTTAGTCACCACTGGAGGCTCGCCCCGATGACAGTGGCCTGCACCCCGCCTTGGTCTGATGCCCCGCTCACCTGCTCCACCATCGGGCCACAACAGTTCACCATGTTCCACACACACACACGCCCTCTGGTGGTCAGCGCCCGTCATAGCAACTGGTTGTTTGGTTGTTCCTCCATTTGGTCTATTTGCATATTAGCCTTTTATTACATGAGATTATTATACTAGATTATGTCCTCTCAGTCTGGGATCCCTCCCCCCTACACACACACAGGAATGATCGATAAGGCGCTGACCCTTTGGCCTGGGACAAGGAGGATGGATGAATGAATGGCCAGCAGCGGGCGAAGGAGGGGACCTCCAGTCCCAGAAGAGTGTGTGCCTGGTGGGCACCCGGAAGGCCCTCCTGGCGGGGGCGGGAGGGGGGTTGGGGGGCCGGGGGGCTCACCCTTTCCACCCAGTTCCGTACGTGAGGGGTGAATGCTGCCCTCGTGAGGAAGCCAGGCTGTGTGGGCACCTCTGCCCAAGGCTCGGCCTCCCTCAGAGGGACCTGTGCGGGCTGCAGGGGTCCCCCGAGCTCGGGGTGGGTGAGGGAGGGCTGGGGGAGGGGTTAGGGCCCAGGAGCAGAGGGGCCTGGATGGAAACGAGCAGGAAGCCTCTAAGTAAGGAGCAGAGGCCTGAGGGCCGCCTGGAGGAGGAGCCGGCCCCCATCCTGAGTGGGTCTGACCAACAGCTCATCTTGCAGGTGGCACCTCTGGGAGATGTGCAGGGAGCTTCCTGCCTGGAGGTCACCATGGAAACCAATGCCAGACTGGGTCAGCCACGCCCCCAGAGCCTCCCAGCATGCTCTGCGGAGGCAGCCTCCACCTCTGCCCCCCCAACTCCCCTATCCCTTCCCATACACACACCCACACCCACACACACACACACACACACTCATACACACACACTCACATACACACACTCATACACACACACACACACACTCATACACACACATACATACTCTCACACATACACTCACACACACACACACACTCAATACACACACACACTCACACACACATACATACACTCACACACACACTCACACACACACTCACATACACACACATACATACATACCCTCACACACACACTCATACACACACACTCACATACACACACATACATACTCTCACACACACACTCACACACACACACTCATACACACACACACACACTCACACACACACACTCATACACACACACTCACATACACACACATACATACTCTCACACACACACTCACACACACACACACTCACACACACACACATACAGACTCTCACACACACACACTCACTCTCACACACACACACTCACACACACACTCACATACACACACATACATACTCTCACACACACACTCACACACACACACACCACACACACACTCACACACACTCACATACACACACATACATACTCTCACACACACACTCACACACACACACCACACACACACTCACACACACTCACATACACACACATACATACTCTCACACACACACTCACACACACACACTCATACACACACACACACACTCACACACACATTCACACACACACATACATACTCTCACACACACACTCACACACACACACACACTCACACACACACACACTCACACACACACACACCACACACACACTCACTCACACACACTCACATACACACACATACACACACACACACACTCACATACACACACACACACTCACATACTCACACACACACACACCCTGCGAGGTCCCCCTTCCCAGAGGACAGACAGGTTGAGCCGGGCCCAGTCACAGCTGCACAGCGAGGCCCGCTGTCTGTGCCCAGGAACTTTTTAAACAGAAAACACAGGCAGGTGAAGGGCCAGGAAACACATTCACTGGCTTTCTGCCTCCAGAGTGTCCTGGGCTTGCGGGAGGTTGCAATTCCATTTACAATAGTTGAAAACGTAAAAGCAGAGCAGGTGGCTGTGCCCACGGGCGGGAAGCCAGGGGCCCGGCACACGCCCTGTGCCGTCTGCGGGAATGGGGGGCCTGAGCGGGGAGGCCTGCCTCACCTTCCCGAGCTGCTTGCCTGAGTCCGCGTGTTGCCACCCGGCCGTTCTGTGACCTGTGCCACGGTTTCCCTGCCTCCATATTGTGAGCAGAGCGTGTGTTTGACAGTGGATTCAGGTGCCAGCTCACGAGCCCCGTCGTGTGTGGGTAGCGTGTATGGTAAGCAGTGCCCATCTGTGTACCCAGGCCATGAGCCCCGGAAGGCCAGGCGCTGCGCCGGTGTGAGCTGGTTTGAAGTGGCGTGTCCATGAACATTTTTTAAAAATATATATTTCATTGATTTTTTACAGAGAGGAAGGGAGAGGGATAGAGAGCTAGAAACGTCGATGAGAGAGAAACATCGACCAGCTGCCTCTTGCACACCCCCCACCGGGGATGTGCCCGCAACCAAGGTACATGCCCTTGACCGGAATCGAACCCGCGACCTTTCAGTCCACAGACCGACACTCTACCCCTGAGCCACACTGGCTTCGGCTCCTTGCACATTTTTAACATTCTCACACGTGGCCGTGAGGGCGGCGTTCTCACACCCCCTGTCTGCAGGTGGAGCCTTCTTCGTGGGTGTGCTCTGTGCATCCCATGAGTGTCCTCTGTGTGCCTGGCGGGCCCGCAGCTGCTTTATCTCAGGATCCCGTGACTCGCTGAGCAGGTCAGATGTCTGGCAGCCCACGTGCCCACTGGGTAAAGCTGGCTAATCCCACCAGCTCCAGCCCTTCCGGACCCTACCCCTCGCCCTCGGCAGTGCCTGTCACCGCTGTCTGCGCTGGCTTCTGCCGGCCTCTCCCTCCCAGACACACCCACAGCTTCTTTCCAGTTTAACGGTTTCATTGCTGAGCACTTCGGAGTAAAACCCAAAAGGTACATCTGATTTTTAAAAAATACATTTTATTGCTTTTTTGCAGAGAGGAAGGGAGAGGGATAGAGTCAGAAACATCGATGAGAAACACCCATCAGTTGCCTCCTGCACACCCCCCCACTGGGGATATGCTCGCAACCAATGCACATGCCCTTGACCGGAATCGAACCTGGGACCCTTCAGTCCACAGGCCAATGCTCTATCCACTGAGCCACACTGGCCAGGGTTGATTTTTTTTTTTTTTTTTTTTTTTTTGATAGTAGAGAAGTTATAATACTTAAGAAACATGCGCACAGAGCTGTTCAGTGCTGGGGTCTCTTTATAAATCTTTAAATGTTACTTGAATTCTCAAGTAAACACATGAACGTAGAGTTAGTGTGAAAATGGAAGCAATATGAAGTCTGTCGGGTGAAAAGCTTCTCTGTGGAAGTTAGCTTGCTTGGCAGGAGGGTGTGCGCATTAAAATCTGATAGATACTCAGAAATGGATCCGATTTGTCTCCAACAGTTTCTTTTTTCTTTAAGATTTTTTATTGTTGTGGGTTTTTTTGGGGGGTGGGGGGGAGAGGAAGGGAGAAGGAGAGAAATATCCATGTGAGAGCGAAACCTCAATCAGAGCCCCCTGGGGATGGAGCCCCAACCCATGCCCGCGGCCTGACCAGGAACCCAGGGCGCCATCCATCCACAGGCGACCCAGCCACTGAGCCGCACCAGCCCGGCTCCGGCCCCACTTCAGCATCCTTACCGCTGTGGCGGGTGGGGAGGGGCTGTTCGGGTGAATGTGCGTTTTTCTGATTGTAACGGAGGTGAGTGTCCTTTGTGCTTTATTGTCCCGCTCTTTCCTGAGACAGGAAATAAGCTGTTTTGTGCTGTGAGGGAGCCCGGTGAGCGGCCGGGCCCCCAGTTCCCTGACGGGGTCACCGCAGCCAGAAAAGCACCAGCGACAGCCTCGGACCCGGCTCACTGCGCCCGAGTGGCGCGCTCCGCCTGCGACCGGCTACAAACCCCTCAGGCCGGCTCCGCTTTCTTTTACAAAAATGCATTTTATTGATTTTTCACAGAGAGGAGGGGAGAGGGATAGAGCCAGAAACATCGATGAGAGAGAAGCATCCACCAGCCGCCTCCTGCACACCCTCCGCTGGGGACGTGCCCGCCACCAACGCGCGTGCCGTTGGCCGGAACCGAACCCGGGCCCCTCAGTCCGCGGGCCGCGCTCCGCCCCCTGGGCCGCACCGCCGGGCTGGCTCCCCTGCCCTTGGCCCCCCAGGCGGCTCCTGCCAGGGGCAGCGGGCTGATGCTTCGCTCTCACAGGGCCGTTCTCTCCTCCTCCCTTCCTCTCCCCGGACCCGGCCCGGCCCTCCGCTGCCCCGCGGCCCGGACCCGGGAGCCCCGGCGGGTGGGGCCCAGCCCGGATGCTCGGGCCCTGCGTGCGCTGCGGGCTCCGCTCCGAGGACCCGGTCACCCCGCGACCGCCGCCCCGGCCCCCGCCCCCGCCCGGCCGGCTGTGGGCATGCGCCCTGCCCGCCGCGGCCCGCCGTTGCCATGGAGACCGGGACAGAGCGCCCCGCCCCCGCGCAGCGCCGGTGGACAAGCCGCCGCCGGTGAGGGGCGACCTGGGGGCGGGGCCAAGTCCTGGGTGACCGGGGGCGGGGCCTTCTGGGGGCGGGGCTGTCCGGGGGCGGGGCCTGGCGGGATCGGCGGGGTGGGTTCGGGTCCGAAAGGTGCTGGGGGGGCGGGGCCGGGCCGGGGGCGGGGACCCGCCCGGGGCGGGGGGGACGGAGGGGGCAGGGGGGACGGGGGGGGGCGGGGGGGCCGGTGCCGCGGGCGGAGCGGGCCGGACGGTCGGTCCGGAGGGAGGCGTGGCCCCGCCCGGCCGCCCCGCCCCCGCGCCCCGCGCCCGGGCCTCGCGGAGCCGCCGCCCGAGCCGAGCCGCGCCCGGGCCGCACGGACGGAGCGGCATGTGGAGGCTGGGCCGCGGCCGGGCGCTCCTGCCCCCGCCGCCCGAGGAGGAGGACGGGCTGCGCGCCGAGCCGCCGCCCAGCGCGGACGCCGGGGGCGCGCAGGTGCGGGCGCAAGGCCGGGGCCGGGGCGCGGGGTCGGGGGGCCGGGGTCGGGGCGCGGGGCGCGGAGTCGGGGCGCGGGGCCGGGGCGCGGGGCCGGGGCGCGGGGCGCGGGGCGCGGGGCGCGGGGCCGGGGCGCGGGGCCGGGGCGCGGGGCGCGGGGCGCGGGGCGCGGGGCGCGGGGCGCGGGGTCGGGGCGCGGGGCCGGGGCGCGGGGTCGGGGCGCGGAGCCGGGGCGCGGAGCCGGGGTCGGGGCGCGGGGCCGGGGCGCGGCCCGCTGGGGTCCGGGCGGGCGGAGCGCCGTCGCGGGGCCGGGAAGGCGACACGGGTGACAGGCACCTGCGACGCGCGCGACCGGGGAGGCGGAGGCCCCGGACCTCGGCGGCTCCACGCGGGACGGGGCGCGGGGTCGCGGCCGGAGACCACGGCGCCCGCACCGGCCGCGGCCCAGGGCGAAGGCGGGCGGTGCAGCGCTCCCTGCAGGGGCCGGAGGGGAGGCAGCGACCTTCCGCGGAGCGCGCCCCGGGGCACCAGCCTTTCTCACTGAAACGCCCCGGGCGGCCCGGCTCTCCCCTCCGCCCTCCGGCCCTCCCCGCGCACACACCCACTCACACACACACTCACACACACACACAGTCACACACAATCACACACACACACAATCACACAATCACACACACAATCACACACACTCACACACACACACACACAGTCACACACAATCACACACACACAATCACACAATCACACACACAATCACACACACACACACACTCACACACACACTCACACACACAGTCACACACAATCATACACACACACACAGCCACACGCACACACACACACACACACTCACACACAGACACACAGTCACACACACTCACACACACACACAATCACACAATCACACACACAATCACACACACAATCACACACACTCACACACACAGTCACACACAATCATACACACACACACAGCCACACGCACACACACACAATCACACACAATCATACACACAGTCACACATACACACATAGTCACACACAATCACACACACAGTCACACATACACATTCACACACACAGTCACACACACACACGATCACACAATCTCACACACACACACACAGTCACACACACACACGATCACACAATCTCACACACACACACTCACACACACACACTCACACACACACACAGTCACACACACGATCACACAATCACACACACACACACACACACGCACACCCCGCCCTCCCGCTCTGTTTCCGATGCGCAGCGCGCTGGGGCCAGGGCCATGGAATTGAGGTCAGAAATGCAGTGCGCCCTGGCTGCTCGCTCGCTCTCTCGCTCTCTCTCTCTCTCTCTCTCTCTCTCTCTCTCTCTCTCGCTCTCGCTCTCGCTCTCTCTCTCCCTCCCTCTCTCTCAGTCGGCAGTCGCACTTCTGCCTGGCCCGCTCCTGAAGGTGGCCGGGTCCTTTCTGCTAAGGTTTGGGAATGCTGTCCTGGAAGAGTCTCAGCGCCCCTGAACAGTGGGGGGTGGTTTCTGGGAAACGGATGGAGCCGTTAGTCACGGCTCTGCCTGAGCCTCTCTCTAAGCGGCTTTTGGACAGCGCGGACCTGGTTTTTATTTCTTAAATCTCAACATCGCAGGGTTCCTCCAAACAGCGACTCTCCGGAGTAGAACGATGAGAATGTAGTAATTCACAAGGAACTATTGTGGATTAGATGGGCCGGATCTTTTTTTTTTTTTTTTTTTTTATGAACTTTAACATTTTATTTATTTTTATTTTTTTAAACCAGACTTTTTAAAAAAATATGTATTTTATTGATTCTTTACAGAGAGGAAGAGAGAGGGATAGAGAGTTAGAAACATCGATGAGAAACCTGGACCAGCTGCCTCCTGCACGCCCTCTACTGGGGATGTGCCCGAAACCAAGGTACACGTCCTTGACCGGAATCGAACCCAGGACCCTTCAGTCCGCAAGCCGACGCTCTGTCCACTGAGTCACACCGGCTTCTGCCAACTTTAACATTCTAAACTGATCCCGTGTTCCGCCTCCCCTTCTCCTGATGAATCCTACCACCTGGGTGTTTTCCTCGGGTTTTATTCTGGACATTTTCTCACAAAAGGAAATGTGGGAGGAATAGGAGCTGGAACAGCAACATGGATTCAACCCTTAGGAACGGTGTTGTTTTTCCCATTTTCTAGTTTACAACTGGGTGCCTGCGTCCTTCTGTTAACTGTGAGTTTTTGTGGGGTGCTTAATCGGGTATTATTTTTATAGGCTTTTATTAGCTTTAGAGAGGAAGGAAGAGGGAGAGAGACACATCAGTGGTGAGAATCATTGATCAGCTGCCTCCCGCACGCCCCCTACTGGGGATGGAGCCCACAACCTGGGCCTGTGCCCTGGCTGGGAATTGGACCCTGACCTCCTGGCTCAGAGGTCAAGCTCAACCACTGAGCCACACCGGTTAGGGCAGGAAGTTCTTTTGTTAGGTACCCAGCAACACGGAGTGGAAAATACCGATGCCCGTCTGTATGTCCCCCAGTGCACAGCCCCCCTCTCTCGGCACCCCATTCTCGGGGCGCTGACGGCTCTCAGCACGGGGCCCTCCCACCTGTCCTACAGATTCTGCAGCAGACGTAACATGAAATGTGTCCGAGGTCATAGTGTCACCGAGTCCCACGGCCCCAACCCTCCTTGCTCCGCTTACCCATGCTGCCTCTCTAATCCCCGGTACCTCCATCAATGGCTGTCCCCATTTCCCCAAAATGCCGTGGGTTGGGGACCGTGCAGCGGGTGGCCTTTTCAGACTGGCTGTCACTCCGTCACAGGCACTGAGTTTCCGCCTCCCTTTTCGCTGAATAATATCCGGTCCCCCGGCCTGGGGGACCCCAGGCTGTCCAGCCCCTGCAGGACATCTCGCCGCTTCCCCGCTGTCGCAGTTTGCTGCTAGAAGCAGCTGGACGCAGGCTCTGTGCGGACGCACGTTCTTAACGCGGATGGATCCACGCTGAGGAGCGTGATTGCTGGGTCGCGTGGGGAGAGTGGGCTTAGTCTGTGGGACACCCCCACATTGTCACCCTCCCCGGCTGCGCCCCCGCGTCCCCGCCCGCAGCACCTGCAGTCCCTGCCGCGCCGTCCTCCCCGTGCTCCCGGTCCTCCCGCCGGGGCGGGCTCAGTGCGGCCTGCGGTCTCCCGGGTGCGCAGGGCCTCCTGGCCTCCCGGTTGCATGTCCTGATGCCGTGGGACGTGGAGCATCTTCTCTGCACTTCCCTCCTCTTTGGTGGCGTGTCTTACGGTCGGGGGCCCGTTTATTTTATTTTTTATTGATTTTTTTACAGAGAGGAAGGGAGAGGGATAGAGAGATAGAAACTCCATGAGAGAGAAACACGCCCCCACGGGGACATGCCCACAACCAACTACATGTCCTTGACTGGAATCAAACCCGGGACCCCTCAGTCTGCAGTCCGACGCTTTATCCACTGAGCCACACCAGTAAAACTGCTGGCTTTGGCTTTCCTGTTGTTGAGGTGTAAGGGTGCTTTGTGTGCTCTGAACAACAGAGCTTTATGGGACGGGTCTTCCCAAACAGTGCCTCGGGTGGCCGGTCTTTCCTCTCTGAGTGTCTGGTTTTAGTGCAGAACCGGCTGTGCGTGATTCCTTCCCGGAGTGTCTCTGTGCCTGAGCAGCGGCCGCCCCGAAGCCGTGAGGACTTTCCCCTGTGGTCCTCCAGGAGTGAGACTCGCCTGTGGCGTTTCATCACTTCGCTAAGGTATCTAGAGGTCAATGCGTTGAAGAACTTTGCTGTAGAAAAACAGATTTTTTTTTTTTTTTACTCTGAATTTCATTCCTTCTGGAGGATTGGTCTTTATTCCAAAGCCAGCTTCTGATGGAGTTAAATTAGACAATTCATGGCACGTCTACATAAAACCTCTGCCTGCAGGTTTTGGTTGTGACGTTGGAAGGAGGGGAATCGGTGTGAGAAGGACGCACCGGACGCGTGCTCTCCGGCCTCGCCTCCCCTCGTGGCCCGCGCCCAGGCGGTCAGCTGAGCGCGGAGCCGCCGCGTCTGGTTCCGGAAAGGGGCTTAGCTGGCACTCAGATGTGCACGCTGACTTCACACAGCGGTAATCGGCTGTTTATTAAAAAGGAAAAGTAGCTTAATGTGAGGTTCTAATACCTTAGAAATGCGAGGCATGTGGAATCGCTGTTTGGATTAAGGAACACTGCATTGTTCCTAAAATAGTTTTCACCCTGAAAACAAACTTCTCTGGGCTTCTCCTTGGACTTTTTTTTAAAAGTGAATTTGCAACACACACACACACACACACACACACACACACATATATATATTACTGATTTCAGAGAGGAAGGGAGAAGGGCGGTGGAGAGAAACATCAAGGCTGAGAGAGAATCATTGGTCAGGTGCCTCTTGCATGCCCTCTACTGGGGATCGAGCCTGCAGCCTGGCATGTGCCCTTGACTGGAATTGAACCCGGGACCCTCAGACCACAGGTCGACGCTCTAACCACTGGGCTACACCAGCCAGGGCTGTTGAGCTTTTCCTCTGTCATGAACACACATCTATTTGTGTTATAGGGAAACAGTGAGGCTAGAAGGGGAGCATTCATTGCAATCTATATTATCATACAGAAAGCAAGCGGCCGTGACACCATAATGAATAATGGCCAAAGGCCGGTCACCAGGAGATGCCTGGAGCATTTCTCAGTCCCTCCCCACCCCCATCCCCACCCCCACCCCGTGAGCTGCTGTCGGCAGCAAGGCATGGCCCGCAGACTCCAATCACAGCCAGGCTGGTAGGCAGGGTGGCGGGTGGGTGGGCTCTGGGAGGGCTCAGTGAGGCGGGCGTGGTGAGGCACACGTGGGTGGCGGGGCTGTGAGCTCGGGAGGCCAGCAGGTGCGCTGGGCTTCCCGTGGTTTAATAATGAGGAGACTAACGGTTCAGCGAGCCGCACTGCAGCCCCGGGGCGGTCAG